GGGGGGGGGGGGGGGGGGGGGGGGGGGGGGGGGGGGGGGGGGCAGTGACTCCATGCTTACGGTACGGACTGCGCTGTGGCGCCTTATTCGAGGAACAGAGCTGGCGAGTGGCGCAGTGACATACGGCGGCCCGCTGTCTTGTTCCCTTAGGGTCTTCTTAATGGCGCTCTCTCATTTTCGAATGTGACTCTCATGTAGGAACAATGTACATGTAGCGTGAAAACATGAGGTGTGACTCTGATGTCCGGTGTGTAAATAGCGCGTGCTTTCCCCTTTCTTTTCCTTCCTGCAACACAAAGAATCGACCTCTATCCACAGATGGAAGCACTGCCCGCAGGTGACACAAGGTAACACACCACCTGGACTGATTCTCAAGGCTCGATTTTACCCACAGCAAAACTAGAGGCGCGGGGCTGAAAATGGCGGCGTTGGAACCGTCCCAGCGAGAGCAGCTTCATCCTGAAAACGTACTGTTTTCCTTGTACATCCTCTTCGTCGAAGAGAAGCGGAGCTTTGGCGATCGATCCAGGGGGCGTAGTATGTTATGTCGCCTACGGTACTACCTCTTGTTATGACATGGTAGACAATTCCTTCACATCCATCATCTTTCGCGATACAATCGAGACGAACTGAATCGTCTTCGTGGTCAGAGTCCTCGTCGTATTCGATATGAATCCCAGAATTGACTTCATTCACGTCGGTATTGTTCCTAATAGTCCTCGAGCGGAACACACCAGTAGCGATATCTCTCACCGTGCCCCCGCCGCAGGTCATCTTCCGAAACGCACGGAGGAGCTCGAACGGCCCACCGCCGATGCTTCCCAGGATCTTCGCCTTGAGGAGGACCTTCGACTGCCCAACGCTCGGCCGCCGAACGCAGTTCTCCTGGATCTATTTGGGGGTGGTCAGGGGTGGCCATGCAGAATTTTGTTTTTTCGATCGAGCAGCTGTGAAGTACGCTTTCAACACACTAATTACCACACGATCGTGCGGCCGTGAAGAGTCCTCCTGGTGGAGAAATCGGGGTTTGAAAATCGGCCTAGGGTGTGTGATGTCATACGTCACGTACGGTAGGTCAGTGCGCGATGGTGATGAAATGAGCATGGACACGCCGCCAATCCAGTGGGGCGACGACACAGGTATTTACTTTGGGCGGGAGGTGAGCGTGTAAACGCAGGCCGTCGTCGATAGGCCCGTTGACCTCGCAATATTTCCGAGCAGCCATAATGGAAAAAACAGATAAGCATATAGGCTATGCTTCCCGGGGAAAAGTTGCACAACAGAGCAAAAGCAATGAGCAGAGCGGACCTGTAGCAAATCTGCGGCCACCACTGCTGCGCAGTAAGGGGGCCCAGGAGAAGGTCGCAAAAACGCGGCCGGTCGCCCGACATAAGGCCGGTGAAATCGCTTCGCGCAGATATTCAATTTGTCTCATACTCTAAATATTTTTTGTGCCGGCCATCCATTGTAAGGCCGGTAATCCTGCCGGCACCACTGTGTAGAGGGCCTTGCATCGGGCACCCCTACAATGCTGTACCTGTATCCGACGGTCCACTTCTCGGCGATGCCTGGCCCTCTCGTCCTCTCCCTGGGAGCACCGCAGCTGCAGCCCGTTGTGCGACGCGAGCTCTCTCATGAACTCCTGGTGCTCGTTATCGTTGTCGCCGTCGCCATCCCTCCCCACCCTCCCTTCCGCGGGGCCCCTTCCCGAAGCCAACCTCTTCGTCGCTGTTTCCAGGGAGGAGCCCTTTCGTCCACCGCTGTTGTTGCTCCCGCGGGAGGAACCGGCGAGCCACGGAGCCCGCTCAGACATCGGGTTGGTCCTGCAAAGGTAGATTTTCATCACGCGCTGTAACTACTTGTTGGTTGTGTGCGTGCATTGCCGAAAAAATGTTGTGCCTTGAGGGGGGGCGAGGGGCTGTGACAAGGTCATGAACGGCCGGGTGCAGAGAGCGGCGGCATTGTGGGTCCTCCGAAGGCCCTGCTATGTTTCTCTTTCTCCAAGGAAAAAATTAAACGACTGCATCTATCCACGGAAATAGAGTACAAGGATAAATGAGCGACGAAAAATGCAAGTAAACAACGGACTAGCTCATTATCTTTGCACTGAAGAACACTTCCGGGATAAATTGGCAGTCGAGTAATTCACTGCTTTATCTTGATCGTCACGGCGGTACAATGCCCCAACCCTAACCCCAACCCTAAACCAAACCAACCAGGTCAGGCGCCAGGATAGGATATATTAGGAATGAGTGAATTGAGAGTTGCATCATGATCGTCACGGCGGTATGCCCTAACCTTAGCCACAAACCTAAACCTAACCCACCAGGTCAGGCGCCAGAAGAGGACAAATAAGAAATGAATGCATTCAGAGTTATATTATCATGATCGTCACGGCGGCCGTATGGCCTAACCCTAAACCTATCCCACCAGGTCAGGCGCAAGGAGAGGATGAACTTGCAATATGAATGAATTCATAGTTACAGAATGATTGTCACGGCGGCCGCATGCCCTGAACCTAACCCTAGACCTAACCCTAACCAGGTCAGGCGCGAGGAGTCAACGCCCCCGTCGATGGCGACGTTTCCCGTGGAGGTCGGCACGAAGCTGAAACCGTCCCTGGCCGAGGTCATCGACAGCCTTCTCACGGCCGCAGCAGCACCACCCCCCCCGTCGTCTTCGGCACCGTCTGCGGGGCCCCTCCTGCCGCTTGCCCGAGAACTACGACCACTGCTGTCATTCTGCGATGATGGTCGCGCGAAGACACACGTGGACGGAGCGTTTTTTTGGGGGGCATCAGTAGCAGCAGCAGCACCGGCATCAACAACAACGGTGATGGCAGCACAACTTAGGCAGGACACGTCAGCCGAGATACCGTCGAACGCAGAAGAAGGGGATGCGGCGAAAGCAGTGCCATTCCCTCGGGAGCGAGGGCGGTATCCCAGACAAAGGAGCAACGGAGCACAAGAAAGCGTCGCTACCGTAGGCCTCCAACGACGGCACCGCGTTCCACCGTTGCGGCTCGGTCGTAACGACGACGACGAGCGGGCTATGGAGCCGAACGTGGCAGTTGTTGCTGTTGTTGAGCTTGTTGTGCTTGTTGTTGTTGTTGTTGTTGTTGTTGTTGTTGTTGTTGCTGTCGTCGTCGTCGTCGTCGTTGTTTTGCTGTGTGTTGTTTTATTAGCATCGACCACGCTAGGCGGCTGACCAATGAAAAGGCGTCAGCCTCAGTGCGGTTGTTGTTGATGTTGTTGTCGTCGCCTTTCACTTTGGAAATCGTTCCGGTCTCCACTCAGTACCTTCTAATGTACGTAGTGGTCCAACTGACGCCTTCCGTGGTCACACGCCAACCAGGTAGAAATAACTAAAATATAATGGGCCTTACAAAGTCCTCCAAGACGCGAAAAAAAATACTGGAGACATACAAGCGGGCATGGGTTACGTTCTGTTTGCCCCCTTCCTGGTCTTCTTACGTACAGCAGTAGTAAACTGACTTTTCTTTACGTAGGCAGTCCAGACGTAGCTTTTCTAGTCGTTGGTTGTTTGGCGGGCGGGGTGAACGTATGTATATCTCGAAAAAACCAAATCGGGGCCCTCGAGTGTGAGTGCTATCACACAGTTGATGATCAACACTAGCTCAGCAAGAGGTCGGTAGTGTTTTGCCGCACGTCATGGAAGGGGAAGAAACTGTGCCACGAGGCAAACCGAGTAACACGTGGGAAACCGCGAGGCGTTAGACCCAATCCGATTACGGGAAGAGGGCCACATCCACACACGCTGTGGTCGAGAAGACTCCAGAAAGCGGCCCAACTGGCTAGGAGGCGGGCACCCGTCAGCACAAAAGCGGTGTACATTTGGCCAGGGAGGAAAAAAACGTCGAACATTGCACACCCGTAACAATACAGCATGTTGTAACAATGCAGCATGTCGCCTATACGTACGCCCTCGTTTCTGCATGTCCCGCGTGTGGGTTAGTTAATACTCAATTTTCTTCCTCTTGTACGATCTCCTCTGAGTTTCTTGTTTCTAATACGGTAGGAATCCGGAGATACAAAACGTCGATTTCGGGTCGAGGCTCGATTCCTTGTTTGGTCACTACCGTCGAGCAGTGTGCAGGTTACGGCATTAAGTTT